TGTGGCTACAGTTTAAGTTTAAGCCGTAGTTCAGTCGTTACTTGCAGTTCTTGTGCCTTCGGTCTTGGTTGGCTTACGTGAGTCTGGCTGCATCTCTAGCTTCGGTTACTGACGTACTCTACTGCTGCATGTCTTTCATAGAATCTGCTCCACACTGCGTTTTCGTATGGCTGGGACATGAGCTCCGGATGCATGCAATGCTTGCCTGCAGCCGAGACGATGCGTGATCTTGCAATACTCTGGGCCTAGTATAGGTATGGGTGGTTGGTAGCTGATGCGAGTATGCACATAAAGATAAATGCATGCATGGAGGTCAACAGATAAACGGAGTCGACGAACATCGTCAGCTGTGGTTCCTGCGGGCCCAGAAACCGCAAAGCCGGTAGTAGCCTGCCAGCTGAACAATATATGTACAACGCTTGTCCTCGTGCAGAGGATGTGCTCATCAAGCCCCACCCGGTTCAGATCCTCACGCTTTTGTGCCTCACCGGCTACGCCGCGGAGATTCAGGATCTCGAGAATCACGTCATGCAGATCCGCACGGGCGAGGGCAAGTCAATTGCCCTTGGTGGTGGAGCGGCTCTTCTTGCTTTGCTCGGACACCGTGTACGATGCGTCTGCTATTCGAAGTACCTGAGCGACAGAGATTTCAAGGCATTCCGTGCCTTGTTTGAGGCGCTGGCTGTGCAACATCGAATCGTCTACAGCGTGATTACATCATACAGCCGCTTGCCAAAAATCAAGCTGTTGCTTGTTTTCCAGCACCAAATCAGCTTGCAGACTGGCGAAGTGTGCTGCTTAGGAGCCACATGCAGTACGTAAACCTAAGAATACATATCTCGAAGTGCGAGGTGAAGATCTCGCAGAGCGCAAGGGCGACATTCGCAAACTGACGCTCGATCTTGTCAAGACGGGAACGTTGACAGCGTCAGCGCAGAGAGCCAATCAGGCCTCCAAGGCTTCCGGGCTGTAATGATTAGTACTGTTCTACTTCTGCTTGTTATTATTATCAATGTTAGTAGTACAAGTTATCATTGATACCATGATTGTTATGGCTATTCGGATTATTAGGATTAGGCTCGACGATTATTTGGATGTTTTCTGCTGCAGTTATATATCATTAATTTGCCACGACTTCGATGAGCAGGGCGTTTGCTCCCACTCGTGCAAAACGCAAGTAATGCTGCATGCACA